CCGAGCCTATTGTAGTTGCATCTTGCATGTGTTGCATTAGCCATCTTAACATGAACTAGGATCATGCACTATTACTAACTAGCTTATGTTCTGCTTGGAGTACTCCGTAAGCATTTATGCTTTACATACCGCATGCGTGTGAGTGTTGCCATGACAGCATGCTTACCATGAGGCTAGCTGCTTATGTGATATACTGCTTGAATGCCTGTGGATGGAGTTGAATTAACTAAATTGGGATAACGCATTAAAATTGTGAGTTTTAAGCCCACTAGTAGTGGCAAAATCATCTTTTCTAAAGCCCACTTGAGGGTGGTGAAATCTACATTTTTAGCCTACTTGCGAGTAGCAAACCATTTTCAAACAAACATGAAATGTTTTGTTCCCAATTTAGGCGTTTTGGTCTATACTTGTTTGCTGTGCGCATAACGTAGTAATTCTAGGCTAATAATCGGAATAAGAACACATGACGTTTTCAAAAACGGATATCACGGTTAGTAGAGGCCGATCTTCGGATCGGGTGAGAGGGGGTGCTCATAGCTGACCTTCTCCAATCGTACCCAAGCTCCCGAGCCGAGGCAACTTTGGTGATGACGGACACGTGGCCTTTGGCACCAAGTCAGGGTTTCCTAAATTCCCCCATAAAAAATATTTAGGTGGCGACTCTAGATCTGGCAAAGCAGTCCATGTTTGGCACTTCTTTTCTAAAAATCTGTTTTCTCAAAACGATTTGCCGGATTTGGACTCTTTGGTTCATATTAAGAACCGTGACAATTTGAGAGTCCTGAACAGTAGCGAGCCCAAAACGAACAGAACGGGACTCGTCCACCCGGGGCGTTCGGGAACGTCTACAGATGTATATAATCATACAATAAGTTAGAGACGCACAAAGAGAATTGAATTGAAATGCAATGGAATGGAATTTCATTTATACTTCATTATGTATTTTGTTTCGGTGGACACCCGAGGCTTAGTGTCACCATAAACCACTATGAGTAATAACTTTATAAAGATATGTTCAAGTTATTCCTATTTCTAAAAATGCTATTGCTATCGAAATTGATATATAATTGGTTAAATGTTTTATTGAAACTTTATAACGATTGATGGAATGGTTTATTGAAACGTTATTTCTCATATGAATGAAGTTCTATTTTGAAACTATACTTGTTGCATCCTTTAATAGGCCCATGCCCGGGGCAAATTAATACCGTGGCCCATTGTTTAATAGGCCCTTGCCTGGGGGAAACAATACCATGGCCCATTAGCCTTCGCCTAGGGGAAACAATACCGTGGCCCATTTGATAATTGAAACACAGCCATCTCTGCTCTTAGACCTTAACGGTCACATTGTATATGATATACTGCTTGACCTATTATGGTCCTGTTGATTGACCCTCGAGGTCCCTCGAGATCTCTGCTGTTAGACCTTAACGGTCACATTGTTACCCTATTGGATATACCACTTGAATTGTCACTGAATGAGAAATTGTTATTGGAACAACACGGATCATTGTGAATTAAAATGATAATTGTAATGTTGTGGAACTTCATTCATATAACCTCTTCATTTTGTTATTACTCATTGGGCTCTAGCTCACTATTTATTTATATATGTAATTGTAGGTGGGAAAACTGAACATCAGAGTTAGATAGCCTCGAGTTTACCCCAGTCATCCTTTTGTGAAGCTTCCAAGTGAAGTAATCAGGCTTGGGTGGAGCCATACTTGTCGAACCCTTTTTGTGTCGTTTAATGGTTTTGTATTTGTACGTAGTTGGGGTTATAATTATGTAAGACATGAAATTGTACTTATGTTGGATGTATCTTTGAATCAAACTTCGCTTAACATATTTGCTCTCCACATATATGCACGACCCAATGGATGAATTCTATAACATTTTAGACTTCCGCTAAGCCCCGTAATTGGTATTAAAGGTTTACTTGTATGGAGGCCGTAGGTAATCTACGATTACTGGCCGGTCATGACCCCAAACCTATAGGGGCAGGTTTGGGTCATGACAGCAGCAGTGTTGGTGTTCAATTATACAAATAGAGGCATTCAGAAGCAAAATGGTGGTCTTTTCGGGTGGAAACCGTGCATGCGCATGAACATCTCTCATTTCCCGAGGCAGAGCAATTAATTGTTTAGTTTAATTATTAATTGCATTTGTGTTATAATTATTTAATTGGTTAGTTAACTTGAATAGTTAATTAATTTTGTATTGTAATAATTAGTTAAGTAGTTTAGCTAGTTATTCATTTCGGTTTGTAATAATTAGCTTAATTAGCTTTAGCTTAGCTTCCTTAGTTAGTTAATTAGCGTAGTTTATTTATTCGAACTCTCCTTTGTGAGAGCGCAATGTAATAATGTGTATGTCTTCCAACCCCACATCTTTCTCCCTTTTATTTACTAGCTTATGATGGTTAGTTTAGGGACATCATGTTTCAATTAGCATTCTTCATGTTTGCATTCATTTGTATTGCATGCACCAAGGCTCGGTTCATCATTCTAACTGCATTGTTTATTTCAATACTTCTTTGAATACGTGCTTAGATCGCATGATATTTCATTGATTCATATGCCGTGTTAAGTAGCCGAGCCTATTTAATTGCATATCGCATGTGTTGCATTAGTCATAGTGTATAGTTAGTGATCATGCATTTTTCTAACTTTGTTTCTTTTTGGCTTGGAGTACTAGGTGAGCCTTTACAAGCTTTAGCATAATCGCATGCATGTGAATGTTGCCATGTCTAGCATGCTTGCTATAAGGCTAAGTGCTAAAATGATAAACTGCTTGTATGTTTGTGGATGAAGGCTTATTGCTTGAATTGGAATAATTTGAGTAAGTGTTCATATGCAATCACTTTTTCAAGTGGTACATATTTCGAAACAATTTTCAAAACGAATATGACTCGAAACGTTCCAATTCTTGCAATTTAGTCTATACTTGTGTATGTGCACATCGCATAGTAATGCTGGCCTAATAAACCGGAACAAGAGCATATAATGTAGATAAGAATCATATTATGATTAGTAAAGGCTGATCTTTGATCGAGCGAGCAAGGGTGCTCAAAAGTATTCATGACCTTTCCCTTTCGTACCCAAGTTCCCGAGCCGAGACAATCTTGTTGATGACGGACACGTGGCCTTTGGCACGAGTCATGGGTTTCTTAAATTTTCCAAAATAAAATATTTAGGTGGCGACTCTGTATCTGGAAAAGCAGTCCAATTTTGGCATTTTTAATTCAAAATCAATTTTCCAAAAGATTTGCTAGATTTTGACTCTTTGGTGTTTATTAATTTTAGATTGCACTTGTGAGATTAGATTCAGAATCGCGGGAATCCGAATTGTAGGGCTTATTTCGAGACTCCGAAAGGGGGCGCGAAAAAGGCGAGCTACAATCTCTTTGGCGCTCCACTTTCTCCCTCAGTAACTATCCGAAGTTCTACCTCACAAAATTGAGGGAGCACAATGATATTCATAAGGTAAAACGATCAATTAAGACAACATGGATTTAGGCATTTAACTCTAGGTAACATGACCATTTTCACATGTTATAGCAAACTATCATTTTCAAGCCAGACAGCATGCCATAAAGGTTACATATCAACAAAAATGGTTGCTGTGTATATATAATTTAAGTTAAAAACTATACACTGAGGTAAGTCTTACATTCAAGGAACTAAATATTGATATAAAATGATGGAATAACATCTAGATGTGACTATCAATTAAGATGACATGGTAATAAAGCAGCAATTCATCTGACAAAAATTAAAATCCCATGAAACAAATATTGAAGGAATCCCACAAACCAAAACTAATGAACTATCAATTTGTAGAAATGAAAAGTATCATGAGAATATTCCAGTAATGAGTGGAGATAATATTGAATGTAAAAAGCTTAATTAAAGGATTTATTTATTGATGAGAGTTCAATTTGAGGAATTTATAACCAACCCTGACAATTAATTTCTCTCTCTCTCTCTCTCTCTCTCTCTCCCTCTCCCTCTCTCTTCTCTTCTCTTGACAATTTAAGTAATTAAGACCATAAAATTCAGAAGTCAGAACAACTTCTTATCCTTGGGCATTTAATTAGGCTAGATGAACTATAATATTTTGGTGGTGTTATATTCACCAATTAGTATACTAACTAGTGTACCAACACTAGTTATGACACTATTATTAACCCCACTCATTAATCACATTACAACTACCAAAAACCTCTTAAATTATGCCACATCAGTAATTGGTACACCAGTTAGTACACCAATTGGCACATATAGTGTTATTCATAATATTTAGCAATCAATTAAATGTTACCTAGGAAACCAAGTAAAATAAATGCCATTTACATCATAAAACACTTCGGATTATTCTAAAATTTTTAGTTGCGGCTCAAATTTTCTTTATACAACCGTTTGATATTTTTGTGCAAGAGAAAATGTAAGCACACACGAAATCCAAAATGCAAAGAAAAAACAAACAACAAGACCCTTAAAAAGCATGTCCAATTCATATCCTAGTCTCATTGTTCTGCATAAATAATTTTATCTTGATTGGAACATAAGGATACTCCATAACAATACACAAACAAACCAATTGACTTTTACATTATCATTTATCACAATCTATTCATTCTCTTTTAGGTTTTGGATTACCTAGCAACCACAAATCCACACACAATTTTGTTAAATACTGCTCATTCAATAAAGATTGAAAACCATAGTTAGCAAGATCTTATTAATCCAATCCAATTAAAGAATGTCAAACCTTGTCAATTAGAGATATGATCAAGAAAGCTTCATCACCTCCAATGATCAAAACAACAAGTTCATTCACACTAAGATCCTCTTTTACCTCTCGCCGAAAACAAAACCAAATGAAATCCAAATTCAACACAATAAAACCCTAGTATAAAAAGTTTACAGAACAAAAATTTGTGGCGTAACCAATTAGTGAGGGATCTGAACTCGAACGAGAGAGGTAAGAGTAATCAATCAAGCTCTAGGGGCACCAGATCGGTAGCGGTAGAGCTTGCCAAACACGTGGAGAGTAATGACGAAGCCGAAGAAGCAAAGGCTCACGACGAGGACGACATTGGGGCTGATCTTCACCCCTGGGGCATTGTCCGTGTAGAACCTGAGGACGTTGCTTCCGGTGCAAAAAAAAAAAGAAAAAGAAAATCTAATAAACAAGAGAATAAATAGAGAGAAAGAGAAAAACCGAGATCGACAGAGAGGGAGAGAGACTGAGTGCGACAACACAAGAGAAAAATACCTGTGATTCAGTGGCAGTGCTGATTTGTAGTAGTCATAGTGGCGATGGTGGTAAGCGTCGGTGGTGAGGTTTGGTATTGACTGTTCTCTGTCTGGTGTGCGAGACAGAACAAATCAACAAAAACAAAAAAGTGTTTTTGTGTGAACAGTATCGGGCGCCAATATAATGGATTTCTCTCTAAAAAAAAAATTCAATATTTAGCGACCAAATTATTATTTGTCAGCAAATGTTGCCAAAAACTAACATTTGGCTACTAATTGTTATTTTTGTCAGCAAAAATTTAATATACAGAGACTAAATTATTTTAGTCACAAAAAGTTCATCTAAGTGTCCTTATTTGGTGACTAAATTTATTTTTGTCAACAAATAACAGCATACGGCGACTAAACAAGGAATTAGTAGCCTAAAATTTCGACTAACACTGACTAAAAATTATTTTAGTCACCTATTAGGTTGTATTTAGTGACTAAAGTGTTTTTTAGTCGCCAATAAACATTATATAGCTACTAAAATAATGTAATAGCTAAAACCAACGCTGACTAACATAAATTTTAGTCGCCAAAAGTGATATTTTCATGGGCTAAAATTTTTTTGGTCGCCAAAATTAGTTGCCAAAAGTGCATTTTGTTGTAGTGTGTTGTCATGCTTTTCATTTTTTTCATTAATGTCATTCCCACCCAAGAGTTATCATGCCTTCCAAGCCAATAATAGTCACATTCAATAATCGTTAGGCCAGTTGTTTCTTTCATCAAATCATCCAAAATTATTAATTAATTTTTCTTAATCATCAAACTATCTAAAAATTAAATTTAAAATTATTGACACATTACATGCACCGCTAATATATATATATATATATTATTTATTTATTTATTTATTTATTTATATGCAGCCTTTATACCTATATCACATAAAAATTACAATACCAACAATAAACACAAAAATAAAATCAAAATGACATAAAAATAGCCTATTAGAACCGAAAGAGTTGGCCTGATGGTCAAGACTTTAAGCCTAGAAGTGTACTCCTTCTAAGGTTTCAGATTCAAAACTTTCTAGATACAAATAGTTTCGTGAGGCCAATCCATACTGAACTTTGCCTTGACTTTAATTGGGTCCCCCGCTAGTGGGCAGTGGAATTGATCTTCTGGATTAGTTGGTTTAATGCACTGAATACCAAATCAACCATTAAAAAAAAAAAAAGAAGTGGCCTATTAAATAATATAGGAAAAATTATGCAAATGGTCCCTATAGTTTACACGTTGTGTCATTTTGGTCTCTCTAATTTCAATTTGCTCGATTTTGACCTTAAATTTTGAATTTTTTATCATTTTGGTCCAATTGAAAACGGAAGTTAAGAAATTGGACAGAAAAGGCCTACTTGGACAACATGTGCAAAGTTTTTAAGAGCAAAAAAGTTAATTTGCTCTCACTCTTAGTTAACTCAATGATTAATCTATCTAATTCAAAGTGAGTTAACTCACCCCCATTTAACTCAATGATATATATATATATTTGTACACCAGAGAGAGAGAGAGAGAGAGAGAGAGGGAGGGGGGCGAGGAGGAGGTGTCGTCGAAGAGTTGGGAAAGAAAGAGGGAGATATATATATATATATTATCTCTGTATGTATATATCTTTGTGTTCAGAATTGGTTCAGTGCTATGACACAAGAGGGTTTTAATGGGTTCTTCAATAACACACTATCTTGGCCTCTAGAGCTTCAAAGCGAAAAAGAATTGGTAGAAAAAGCTTCGAGTAATCTGTTCTGACCCAGATGCAACTGATTGTTCTTCGGACGAAGAACATGGTATGAGGGTAGATAAGAAGTGAATCATTCATCAAATTGATCTCGAGGATGTTGTTCCCTCTTAAGGAAAAACAACCTAGAAAAACCCTCTCTCTCAAAAAAAAAAAAAAAAAAAGGGGTTTCGATTCAATCTTCGAAGAAGAAGTTGAATTCAAAGAGTCCTTACAAGGAGGTCCAACAGAGGAAATGGGGGAAATGGACTGCTGAGATTCGAGACCCCACTAATAAAATTCGCATCTGGTTGGGCACTTTCAACATCGCCGAAAAGGCCTATATATGAAGTCTATCTCGCCAAGAAGATCGAGCTGGAAGAGGAAAACGTTAGGATTGCTGTGATTTGAAATGGACTAAATGGTGTTCAACTGGTCGTGCCTCCTTCTTCTATGCTTGCCAAAGATGGCCCTGTTTAGCCCAATGATGGTGGTACAGAGATAGGTGCGGATGTTCAAAGTGGTGGTCTTGGTTTGCGGATTATCGACAAAAATGGGTTTCTTTTGGGAGAATTTTGCAGCCTTGATGATATGCGAATTGGCGATGCCAAAGAGGAAAACAACTGAGCATGACTCGAAGATATCTTTGTTAAACGATTGTCAGTATGTGATGGTTTCACAGTTTATAATGAAATTGCAAGGTTTGAAGACTGTTGATGGAGAAGACCCAAAGATATCTTTGTGTTTTGATTTTTGATCTAGGACTGAAAATTAGATTTTGTTTTGTTATTTTTGATTGTTATGATGGTCTGTTGATGTTGGGATTGTTGTTTGGCTGTGGCGGTGATAGCGAAAGGCAGTGGAACGGCGAACAACGGTGGTCGGTGCCTCTGTTCAATCACACACAAGGAAGAAGCTAAAAGGGAAAGCAAAACGTCTATTTTGCCCTAGGAAACCAATCATATGTCATTCACGTGCAAATTTTCCGTCCAATTTCTTAACTTCCGTTTTCAATTGGACCAAAATGATACATAGTTCAAAATTCAAGGTCAAAATCGAGCAAATTAAAATTAAAGGGATCAAAATAATATAACGTGTAAATTACAGGGACTATTTGCAAAATTTGCCCAATAATATATGATATTTTTGACGATATCATTATATATTGGAGTGACATATGAAATAGCATGACACATGAAACAACGAGACAAAGTCCTTACAAAATCCATTGCCCTTGGCCTATATACATAAACCCAGTCTTAAATATAGTCAAGTGTTTCAAGAATTTGAATTTCCAGTTACTTCTTGACCAGTCGTTGGATCTTTCGTTTGACTTTTAATCTCTGCATTACTCAAGTATCGTGCAAGTTTACGTGTCTTATTCCAAACACTCTCATCACTTCCATGGATGTCACCTATTCTTGATTGATGGTGTCTATAATTCCTTAGTAGATGAGCAACGAATATTAAAAAACAAATGCAGGACGTGACAATGGAGAAGAGGAATAGGCCCCAGAAGCTTTCTAAGCCCAAGCTATCAACGTTCTTGGTATTCTGGGAGTCTAAGCACTCTGATGATGGAGTTAACCACTCCTCTTCCAACCTTTTGAGGGAACCATTTTCCGACAATTGTAGAATGGCTTTAGAGACATCATCAGCCATTGGAGAACCTTCTTGAAACACCTGTGGAAAACATGATGATGCTTTTGTTAGTCATCCAATGAAGATAAAAATAACAGTTTGTTTAATAACATGAAAACGAAAAACAAAACAATATACGAAAATATATGTATGGATAGAATTTTACAAGATTTGGTGATGAAACCCACTTTTCAAAACGCATGTCCATCAATATATTTTTTGTGACTTATTGTAAAAATAAAGGTTGAAGAAGAAAACTTGAAGAGTGTTGATTAGTGGTTAGCAATGAGGGTGCTCAAGCATGGAAGAAAACTTGAAGATGCATGATATATTAAAATTATATTCTATGTAAAACTTTGAGATTAATGACGGTGTATTTCATGCAATAATTGTTGGTGAAAACTTTGGCATAAGGGATCTCGAGAAAGGCTGCCGAGATACTTCCATTTTTGAACGCCTTGAGATATTCGTCTTGGTCCCTAATGAGCTTAACATTCTCTGATTTATATTTAAGCACATCCTGCACATATGTACTCATAAATGCATTTGCATCACAACCAACTTTGCTCATGGGGTTAACGTTTGGTTGTAGTCGGGAGATTGTAAGCATTGAAGTGAGACTGGCAGTGAAACTCTGTGTTAAGATCAGCACCACAAAAAGCCACACGACAACCACAACTCGAGTGTAGTTACTTTGGATCTTTTCCCCTGGATAATGAAACATTGAGTTTATAATGAGTGTGGTAAAAGTAAAGTGCAATTTTAGTAGAAGTGTAGATGTTTTACTGAAGTAATAAAAACCTGTTTGGCTAACACGTCTATTATCATCAGTCTCATTAATGCCATAGACTAAAAGCTAATATTATAATTTGCCTTAAAGTGTAAGGTTTGACTATCACAATTGAAATAGATAGTTGAAAGTGAAAAAAATAAAAAATAAAAAAATAGTACACCTTGTACCAAATTTCACTTTAGTCCCTATAAATGAAATTGTAATAGTCAATCTTATGCATTTTTGGTCAAATTTCATTTTGATCCCTACACATAAAATCATGACAGTTAACTACTTGTACTTCTGGTCAAGTTTCAATTTGCCCCTTCTGTTACATTATTATATAAGTTTTTAACAAAATCTAATCATGCAACAAACATGTGACTACGAAATAAGGATAACAAAGGAAAATCATTCTTACTTTCCACCAATATATACTTTGTCTCATGTGATAAATATATGAGAGTTATATAATACAATATGTGTGTGTATGTGTGTGTATGTGTTTTCATATGTTGAAAATTAGGATAAGATGTAAGAACGTAGAGCATTTGAAATAAATAAATAAATAAATATGGACAGTAGAGAAATTGAAGACTCTGTTACAGTTGAAAACGAAGTTTCATTATTCCAATTTTTATAAAACCCTAATTTATCTCCTTAATCGTTCACAATTTAAGTTTTCTTTTAACTGAATACAATCAAATTTAATGTAAATTTTAGGACGAACTGTGTATAGAGGGGAAATTTGGGTGATTTTTCTCTTTTACCATCATTTTATAATCATATGATTGTTACATTACTGATTTCTATTAAAGAGTTATATGATGAAGTAACAAAAGAGAGACTTGACACTTGATTAGAAGTGCAGGGAGAAAATTGTCAAGATTTCATAAGTGTAGGGAGTTAACTGTCACGATTTCATGTATAATGATCAAATTGAGATTTAACCATAGGTGTAGGAGTTGATTGTCACGATTTCATATATAGAATTGATTTTGTACAAAGTGTAAGAGTGCAAAGTGTAATTCACCCAAAATACAAAAACAAAACTACCAGTGTAATTCACCCATAAAAGCAAGATCAAAGATAATTTTAAGTTACTATTTTAAGGTACTAACACAATTTTTTGAACACCCCAAAAGTGAGTAGGTAAGAGCATCTCCAATGGTAGTAGGCATTTTACCTATCTTAATATTACTATAAAGTATACATTTTATTTTGCCTATCAACGATTTCATGTTTCTGCCCCAACCATACTCTTTATTTTAGCTATTCATCCAAATACTATTAACTTTATAGAATGCCACGTCAGCAACAAAGATGGAGGGAAATAATCTTAATGATTAAATATAATTTGCCTAGCCTTGAAGGCTAGCTACATGTAGCTAGTGAATGTGAGCTGAGCCAAAATGCCTAAGCATATGCCTAGTGCATTGGAGTTGAAAAAAATGAGTCACAATAGGCATTTTGACTAACAAGTATCATATGCCTAGTGGGTTGGAGATGCTCTAAGTAGCTAGCCATATGGCTAGCGTATAAGAAAGCTAGTAAAATCTTCATAGGGAAGTCTTTCTTGCATTGTTCTTATGCCCAATACTACAAAAAGCATCTAGCTTTTGTCTTGTAAGAAAGAAATGGAGTTCTGCCCAGTTGGGCTCGCAAGGTTTATAATGAATTTCATTCTAATAATTTAAATTATTCATTTTGTAAGTTATCACCAAAAATAAATAAATTAAAGTCATATTGATATAAAAATTGTCACCACATAATTTCATCAAATTGCCTTTAAAAAATGAGAAAATAAGTGTACAAAATAAAAAAAAATAAAACAATGTTCACACAAAGTTAAATTAATGATGTTTAGATGGGATGGCACTAGTCCCATAGAGTTGTCATGGGTGGCACAATTTGAATTATACACATGCAATTATTAGCATACTTTCTAAGAAAATGTTCACACAAAGAACAAAGGATGAGTAGAAGGGGCAGTTAACTTGTTTCATCTTGGCCACGCTCCCTTGCTAAAGAGTCTCCTCTTATGGCCAGCCATAGTCGAAGCTACTCTGTCATGATATAGACTAGTTTCAAGTTCAAACCCTAGTCCCTTTGGCAAAGGCAAAAAAGAATGCCACTTGTCCTAGGACCAAATGATTCTTCTTGCCCAATGGGTCTACATCCATCCCTGAATGTTGCCATACATTAATTTAACTGGGATGACACTTGCTTGATAGAATTGTCTTGAATGGCACTAAATGAGTGATATATAATTCAATTGTTAATCTAATTGCTATATTTTAAAATATACTTACTGTGAACAAGGAAAAGTGAAGAGAAGGTGAACCAAAGAACATTTCCTAGTTGATCCTTCCATGGACCACTGAATTCTGGATTGGATCGATGTTCCAAGAACCAAACAATGAACATTGTGTAGATCAAAATGGCCCCTGTGGCTAACCACATTTCCAGAGTGAAAGGCTCAAGAAATATCCATGCTTTGGAAGCAGGCTTTACAGGAACTACCATCGACAAGCCTGACTCGGTAATTGGTTGTGTGAATTCCACGCCCCTCCAACGTTCAGCTAGTATAGTTATATCACCAACAGCTCCACCAAAAGTCTTCCACAAATGTTGATCCACAAAAAAAAATAATAATAATAAAATAAGCTTATGTGGAATAGTTTAAGGAAAAATAAATAAATTGATGCAACACATTCACATTTTTCATCATCTCTCTTACCGACAGCATAAAGGGCTCAAGACTTTTGCCTTACATAATTATCTGATATATCTAGGATAGGAGATTATGGCTGGGGAATTAGTTGGGCGAAGCCCTAGACAATTTTTTGAGTTTAGGAAAAAAAAATTAAGGGCAATAGTTCAATCTGTTAAAAAAACCATATCCTCCAAGCACCATGTTGAGCACCACAGCTCCAATCTAGACAAAATATATAGGTGGAGATTTGTGTTCCAAAAAATACGTTTGTTCCCTTCCAATGTTGCTTCACTGATAATCTCACACCACTTGATTTTTTAAATTAAAACTCATATTGTATGACTATGAGAATATGGAACAGAGACAAACATCTTTTTACCAACAAATCGAATTATATATATATATATTAGTTTTTCATTTGAATTGAATTGATGGCTGATGTGCATTGATGATTTGGACTGAGGCCTTGTTGATTTTCTAATTATGAAGGTGGAATGGTCTTGTTTTTGGCATTGATGCGCTGTGCACTAATGTTTGGGGGATGAATCTGCACTAATGTGATGCTTTGTTTTTTTTGTTGGTGCTCTGGTTTGGTGCTCTGCACCTATGCTCTGCTGCTCATGCTGGTGGGCTATAGGTGGTAGTTGGTGGTTGTTTTTGTTTTTTCTGTTTCTTTGGTTGGTTGCTCATCAACTCTGAGGGTGCTAGCAAATGATAGGATGGACTTTTTCGTGCTAACATAGTTGGAATGATGTAACCCATGTTGAATATTGGCTACAGATTCTGGCCATGTTAGCCAGCTACATGGTGGGGAAGCCATGAGGCCATGTGAGTTGGCCATGAGGCCATGAGAAGCCATGTGAAGCTTCAATCTGTAAAGCCACCGAAAGCACAACAATGGGCTGGCAGCCAGCTCATTTCAAAGGGTTCCTCTTGCATTTGTAATCTCTATATATAGAGAAGCTAAGGAGAGTTGAGGAACAGCTGAGATAACAAAGAGAGAGAGAATTACAGAGAGTGTTGTAATTCTTACCATTTTGTTCAATATAGTGAATCCGCTGCCCGTGGACGTAGGCGACTTGCCGAACCACGTTAAATCTTGCGTGTTATTGCTTGTTTGAGTTCCCTGGTGTGCCCCCGATCCGCAACAATTGGTATCAGAGCTCGGGTTGCGAAAAATCGAATTTTTCCCGAAAGTGCCCAGATTTCGAAGTGCTCAAAATCCACTTTTGACCATACCAGGAGGAAGAACTCCCCGAGAGGAGTCCAGAACAGCAAAAACAGAGCCCAACGGAGGCCGGACGCGCTCTCACGCGCCTCTGGCAGTTTGCGCGTGAGGCCCAGTCTCTGCACGCGCCCCCACGCGCCGTGAAGAGAGTCAGAGCGTCAGCCCAGTCTCACGCACGCGCCGCACGCGCTTTCAGAGGAAGACGACGCGTGCGTTCATGTGCAGACACGCGCCGCACGCGCCCACGCCAGCCGACGTCATCAGCCGATCGATGCCGAGCCGTTGAGCCGGAGCCGCGTTGACCGCGCCGCCGATCCTTCGTTGACCGCGCCGCCTGCGCCGTTGACCGAGCTGTTGACCGGAGAAATTATCCGGTGCATCTCAGCGCACCAGATTCTGCAGATCTGACCCGTCCAAAGTGTTTTTGCTAGATCGGAGCCATTCGGAGTCTGTTTTTGGCGATCCAATAGTGCTTCCCAACTATTTGGAGTATTCCACTTTGGTGGAGAAAGTCCGGTGTATGCTGTCACAGTCTGGATTGAGCAAGGCATTTTGGGGCGAGGCATTGAACTATGCTCGTCATCTTGTCAATAGACTACCTACTGCAGCATTAGATGGGAAGACTCCCATGGAGGTATGGTCAGGAGTCCCAGTTACTGATTATGATCAGTTACGTATCTTTGGATGTCTAGCATATTTTCATGTTACGGAATCTAAGTTGGATCCAAGAGTCAAGAAAGTCAAAGAAATGGGCTTCGGTGACGGTGTCAAGGGATACAGACTGTGGTGCCCTGAATCAAAGAAAGTTCTCATCAGAAAAGACGTTACCTTTGATGAGTCTGCAATGCTGAAGCAATCAGATCCTCAACAGAATGAGGAAACATTGAAGAAGTCAGTGCAGGTGGAGTTTGAGACTCCAACAAAGACTAGTCAGCCAATCAACCATCCTGAAGAAGTCTCAGAGGATAGCTCTGAAGAGAGTTCAGATGAAAATGAAGATCCAGAGGCTCCGCAACAATCAGAACCCATTGCAATCAGGAAAGGAAAAAGGGTTACTAAGCAACCCAGTTGGATGACCGATATGGTAGCCTATGCACTTCCAATCATGGAAGACAATGTTCCGTGCACTTTCAAAGAAGCCGTGCATAATGCAGAAAGTGTCAAATGGAAGGAGGCTATGGTTGAAGAGATCAGGTCACTTCACAAGAACCAGACTTGGGAGTTGGTACAACTTCCAAAAGGCCGGGTCACTTCACAAGAACCAGACTTGGGAGTTGGTGCAACTCCCAAAAGGCAAGAAAGCAATTGGGTGTAAATGGGTTTACACCAAGAAGGAAGGCATTCCAGGCAGGGACAACATCATATTCAAAGCTAGATTGGTAGCTAAAGGCTATGCTCAGAAGGAAGGAATAGACTACAATGAGGTATTCTCACCTGTTGTGAAGCACACGTCTATTCGCATCTTGTTAGCTTTGGTTGCACAGTTTGATCTCGAGCTCGCCCAACTCGACGTCAAAACTGCCTTCTTACATGGAGATCTTGAAGAGGAGATATACATGTCCCAGCCAGATGGTTTCAAAATTGCTGGAAAAGAGAATTGGGCCTGTAAGCTGAACAAATCGTTGTACGGATTGAAGCAATCCCCGAGACAGTGGTACAAGCGATTTGATCGGTTCATGATGGAGACAAAATACACAAAAAGTCAATTTGATCATTGTGTATATTTTCGTAAGCTTCCCGACAGTTCCTTCATCTATTTGCTCTTTATATGTAGATGATATGCTGATTGCATCTACGAGCAAGGTGGAGATTGACAACCTCAAGGCACAGTTAGCAAGGGAGTTTGAAATGAAGGATTTGGGAGAAGCAAAGAAAGTTCTTGGCATGGAGATCAAGAGAGACAGGAAGAAGGGCACGGTTTGTCTTACACAAACCCAGTATCTGAGAAAGGTGTTAGACAGATTTGGCATCAATGGGAAAACCAAAGATGTAAGTACACCATTGGCCCCTCATTTCAAGCTTAGTGCTTCGTTGTCTCCACGCACAGAAGAAGAACGGAAGCATATGGCACAGGTTCCATATGCAAATGCAGTTGGTGCATTAATGTATGCTATGGTTTGTACACGGCCTGACATCTCGCATGCTGTGAGTATGGTAAGCAGGTATATGCATGATCCAGGAAAAGATCACTGGCAGGCAGTGAAATGGATCCTAAGGTACATACATGGCACGGTCAATCTGGGATTGAAGTTCGAGAGATATAACCGACTCGGGCAGAATTTGGAAGGATATGTGGACTCAGATTATGCTGGTGACTTAGACAAACGCCGGTCAACAACAGGGTATTTATTTACGCTTGCTAAAGGGCCGGTAAGTTAGAGGTCAACGCTTCAGTCAACGGTGGCTTTGTCTACTACAGAGGCAGAGTACATGGCAGTGACGGAAGCCTTTAAGGAAGCTATTTGGCTACATGGGTTGATTGAAGACTTGGGAATTGTTCAGAAGCACGTTAAGGTGTTTTGTGACAGTCAGAGTGCCATTTGTTTGGCAAAGAACCAGGTTCATCATGCCCGCACCAAGCACATTGATGTCCGTTTCCATTTCATCCGAGAAATTGTGAATGAAGGGGATATTCTGCTTCAAAAGATTGGTACTGCAGATAATCCGGCCGATATGCTCACAAAGGTAGTTTCTGGGATCAAGTTCCAACATTGTTTGGACTTGGTCAACATCTCTCGGAACTGAGCACCTTCGGGTGCATGGCAGTGTTGATCGATCACTATGTTGGATAAGAGAATCCTCGCCAAGGTGGAGATTTGTTGAATATTGGCTACAGATTCTGGCCATGTTAGCCAGCTACATGGTGGGGAAGCCATGAGGCCATGTGAGTTGGCCATGAGGCCATGAGAAGCCATGTGAAGCTTCAATCTGTAAAGCCACCGAAAGCACAACAATGGGCTGGTAGCCAGCTCATTTCAAAGGGTTCCTCTTGCATTTGTAATCTCTATATATAGAGAAGCTAAGGAGAGTTGAAGAACAGCTGAGATAACAAAGAGAGAGAGAATTACAGAGAGTGTTGTAATTCTTACCATTTTGTTCAATATAGTGAATCCGCTGCCCGTGGACGTAGGCGACTTGCCGAACCACGTTAAATCTTGTGTGTTATTGCTTGTTTGAGTTCCCTGGTGTGCCCCCGATCCGCAACAACCCATTGTGATGCTTTTGCACTTGCTTTTCTTTATTGATGTATTTTTTTTGTACTTTGTATTGTGCTTTACATCAATGAAGTTTCATTTATGCACAAGAGCGTTGTTGGAGTTAGATTTATTACCTTGTTAGCGACATTTTCAACCAAATCTCCATAGGTGCCATTGAACTCCACAAATTTGTAAGGTAGATCATAGTCCAAAATCTTGAGCACCTCCTTAAAAACACTAATGCAAAAACCATCATAGGTCTCATTCGTATTCTTGGTTGATGGCATTATCTTTACAAAGGCGTCAAAAGCAGCTCTACCAGGTACTCCGATTATCAGTGGATCTTCCAAACTAGGCATTGCCCATCCTTTTGGAACCCGCTTTAGGTTTCCTAAGCTTTTCCTCCAATCATCTAACAATTTCATAAAAATAAATAAATAGATAAATTTATATAGAGTTTTTGTATAGAAGATATGGCTCAATATGAATATTTTTCTATGTTAAAAAAAAAATAAATAAATAAATAAAATCACACAAACAAAAATAAATAACTGAGTTTTCAGTGAAAAAATCACTACCTTTTCCATTTGAGCCATTCTTTCCGCTTTTTGCAGCATCAAGACTTTTCAAGAACCCGAACTCAGGAGACCAATATTCCAGCTTGTTGTATGTCAGATTGAAGACATTGATTACCCGATATATAGGTTTGTATGATAGCCTCTCATCTTCAAAATGAATTTCACCACTTAAACCACTGAAATTGCTTGATAATATAGTATCCAACAACCTTGTTGAAGTAGTACTACTAGTGCTATGAGTCAATCTCTCCAAGGCCACTATAACCATAGTTCTAAATCGCGGTATCGGGTAACGTAACGGTATCGATCGCGGAGTATCGGTATCGGTAGTATCGGCCAGTACGTATCGGGAATCGGATGTCGCGGCCGTGAAATTTTAAAAATCATTAACAATCCTTGTGAAACTCAATTTTGTACATTTTTTTTACTCTTTTAACCTTAATTTGTCACATTTTAATCAAAATTTTGATATATATGGGCACTTTTAACTCATTTTTAACTAAATGATATGTATTTATTTTAGTCTCAATTATAACTTACAATTATCTACGATTTAAAATAAATCCACAATAGTATACCAACTAGACAGTATACCAAAGTTGCAAATTTGGCCCAAAACTCAATTTTATCATTTTTGCAAATTTGGCCCACAACAGTATACCAACTAGACAGTATACCCAGTACACCAACCCAGTGGTATTACCAACTAGACCCACGAGTTGGTTAAAAAACATATGGGCCAAGATTGCCCAAAACAACCCACCAACTATCTTGAGTAAAATATTTTGGCCCAAAACTATCACTAGACATTTATATAAAATATGAATATAAAGGCTGCTTGCTGCTGTAGCCTCAAAGCTTCAATGGCGCACGACCCAGAAAGGATTTTGAAACACGCCGGATGCCGCCGAAGAACATCACGACCTCGTCGTGAACCTTATAGTTGCACAGTTGCACTCCCACTTTAGCGAAGACCAGCAATCCAAAACCAGAAACAGCATCGGAGACGAGCAGCTCTCTGCGCTTTATTTCATCCGTACCGGCGACAACCAAGCTGTATCGGACCGTATCGCCCAATGTATCGGTTTCAGGCCGTTACGTACCGGGACTCGGACGCTACGGCCGTGAAATTCATTCTCGCTGGTATACCGGTGAGTATCCGACTCGGCCATCCCATTTTCCGGTACGAACCGGCCGGTACGGGACGTACCGGTCGATATTTAGAACCTTGACTATAACAGTTGCAATGCTATCGTATGCTCTCAGAGCATAAATGCCAGGGTTAGAGTTATCTTCTTCTGGATATTCAAATCGGAAGCTCTGCTGAAATTGTTTTTTGAAATCTTGAAATGAAGTAGTGTTTTCCGAATAGTCTATCTTGATTCCAAAAACACCTTCCATAGAAGAGATGAAAGAAGAATTAACAGAATCCAAGAAGCTTGCAATGGTGTCTGTAATTACCCAAGCTGAGTCTTTTCCTATGAATCCCATCTTCCTTGCCTCACTAAACAAGAGACTAGTAAATTGTAATGATGATTGAAGAACGATGAAAGCTCTAGGTTGTATGTTATTCAATTTCATCATCTCCTCACGAACAAACTCTAGGGGATGAGATAGAGATTGAAATGGTGGAATGACTAAATGATGCTCAATAACTGAGCCAACATTGTGAAGTGCATCAGATAACATAGCTAGCATGTTGGAATCACCGGAAAACATGTCTTCTTCAAAGACAACGATGACCCTTCGCCACTTGAATGAGTGAACCAGAGCTGCAGTACAATCCATCTGATTAGAAAAGTTAGTAACCATTTGTATCAAGAAAGGCCATTGAGTCGTTTTGGTAGCTCCAATTGCAGCTGCAAGTGAAATAACTGGAACTTGTGCTTGGTTTCCGATTTTGGCTACTAAAGCTGTTTCCGCCCATGTCTCCATGCCTATAATCACTTGCACTTGCTTCTCCTTAATTAGTTGATCAGCTGCGACATAATTTCAAAACTCGAATTAATCTAAACCCAAACTTACTATCAGCATCATGATCAATCTTTAATTAAGGCATGATATTCTCTCTTCCAATCCAATGCAGCATTCCTAATCATTGGATTCTTGAGATTCACCTGCCTTGATATTCTCATATGATAATATTCTCATATTATCAAAATTTGTGTTTTGTTTCACTTAAGTTTCTAATATTTTTTATTTTTTTTATTTTTTTCAATTTAATCTACAAACTTCAAAATTATGAGTTTAAAATAGTTCCCAACACTTGACGCAGTAACTAAAGTTAGGTACTTTCAAAATTTTGTGAAAAAAATGCAACACATATAAAATTTCGAGAAACTCAGTTCTAAATAATTGATTTAGATGACGTGAGGATTAGATCATTAACAATCAGTTTGGATAGAATGATTGGTGAGAAATCATATTAAAATAAATAAATTTTTCTCATGTCTAATTTATAAATTAAGTTCAAAATTATATTAAAAAAATTGTTACTTTTGTATCATGTTGGTTCTTGTTGGTTCTTATAATTTTAATGTAGTCAATTTTGACGATGAATTAATTATTTTGTCTCGATTTGATCCAATTAATTACAACTATTAGCATTTTTTTATGGAAATTGTATACATAAACGGCATGTGTTATATTTTTGGAAGCAAAATTAGAAATGTAAGAGAAACCAAAAAACTGATCAACTTATTGAATCGGACTGAACCGGTCATATTTGGTTTGGTTTTTTAATAAGAATTGGTCTGCCCGTTCTTAAATTTAATTTTTTTCAATTAAGCACCTTGTGCACCGAATTAGACCGAAACCAACTGCTTAAGTATTTTAATAATCATTTTTCATTAAAAATTGAACTGGTGTTATCAATGGAACCAATTTAACACAAAATTCAAAATCAAGAATCAAAATCGAACTAATAAAAATGTAGTGACTAAAATCAGACATGAAACTACCAGAACTGCCAGCTGCCAGCGTAATTTAACATTAATTACATCTCACAATACAGAAAATGACAAGGAATCCGATAAGGGGATGAAGCACATCCTCCAATTCAAGCATACAAGGAAAACAAACAAAGCAAATTAAAGAAAAGAAAGCTAACCAGCATAAGCTGCTTGCAAGGGGTCTCCGCCGGAGCTACTGAAATAGAGAGAGAGCTTGTTGTTGAAGTTATCAACAGCTACTTTCATGGCTGTCATTTGTTCTTTGCCGATACGAGAATTAACATCGATGATTACACCAACGTTTGTGGTGGTTATGTTATCAGTTTCAACGACAGTGCCATGGGAGATAGTGCCAAAGAATGAGACAAGTATGGGGATGAAGACCAACGTGATGATGGGTTTTGATGAAGATGCCATTTTAGAGATTCAACTATGTCGACCAACAGGAAGATGGTTCATTTCATGGACTCTTTTATTGCATAAATATATAGAAATTCATATAGACGTATATTTAGCTTTCGTTTGGGATATGTGTTGGCATTTTGGTTTTTTATTGTTTTAGTTTGGGGTTAAAAAATCTCATTTAAAATGAATTTTTGATTTTTTTGACTTTTGTGAGAAAAAAAATAAAATAATTTTAATTTAGATGTGACATTTTATCTTATTAAACTAAAAACTCAATTTTATTTTTTTGTGGCTAAAATAGCCCAACCCAATCCAAACCTTCTTGCTAAACAGTTATAGATATTTTAATATAACCGTTTGGATTTTGAAGAGCACATCAGAGAAATGTGATAGATATTTTAATATACGGTTACATTATTGGATTTGAAAATGAGTTTAATTTTAAAGTAGCATTACTCTAAATCTAAACACATGTTTATAGGTAAATTACATTAGTAATTTATTCACTTTGTCTCTTGTGTCATTTTAATCCCTATAATTTTAATTAGTTTGATTTTGACTATTAATTTTAAATTTTTTTTATCAATTTGGTTCAATTATAATACCGATTAAGATTTTTCAAAAAAAATGATCACTAAGTTGATTGAGGTTAATTCACTGAATTGATCAAATTTACAATTTTACTTCCAAATATATGACACATGCCACTCATGTGTGCATATAATACATACCACTTATGTGCGCATTTTCATAAAAAATACTAACAATTGTATTCAATGCGACTAAATTAAGATAAAATCATAAATTCAATGTTAAAATCAAGTTAATTGAAATTATATAAACCAAAATAATACAAAAGATTAAATATAGTAACTACTGATGTAATTTGCCCCATGTTTATTATATATACAACTAATTTGAATAATTTTATGTATTTAGAAAATTGGATAAATTGCACCTTTAAATCTTCTTATTTGACTCTAATTTTATTTTGGCAGCCATAATTTCAATAATGTGAATTCTTGACCTTAATTTCAATTTTAGTATGATGATTCCGCAAAAATTTCACATTAAAATTCATGACTTCATAATATTGTTCAATCTGATATGGAGAATAAGCAGGAAAAATTTGACCACAATTTGAATGGAATAAAAAACAATTGAAATTGGGCCTACAGTCAAGGCTTCACATGTTTAAATCAAACTATAAACCTACTGATTAACATTTTTGGTGGCAAAAGGTTTCTGGTTCAACTTTTATGAAAAGAAATTTAATATTTTTTTATAATGGTATTGATTTCTCCTTTATTATACGGGCTTATTATAGGGGTTGTACTACGGAGTTGTTTGGGGTGTCTTAAATAAGTGTACTTTTTATTTTTTTAGATTAAAAAGTTGTGGTTGAAAATATGAATGTTTGGGTTAACTTTTTGACTTTTTATGAAAAAATGTGTAATAAAAAATTGTAAAAATTGGTTTGTAGGGGAAAATTAGAATTGAGAGTTGTACAGCCGTAATTGTTGACTTTTGGTGAATAGTAATAACTTTTTAACTTTTTGAGTAACTTTTTAACTTTTTGATTTTTTTGAGACTTCCCAAACTTGGCCTAAGTAGTAGTGGAACTGTTGTTAGGCTTAGGTTAGTATTTGGCTTTTAGGTAAGCTCGGCAGGCCTTGTTGACTTTCATGAGTTAATAATCTATTTTATGATATAGAATAATGTTTGGTAGTTCGAGAGTTTGCCCCCCTGAATTCGCCTAATGCCTAAAGCGACGTCGTTTTGGGCATTAGTCTTTTTTTTTTCCTTCCATTTTCGAGTCTTCTTCCTTCCATTTTCGAGTCTGCAGAGGGAGAGAAAGAGAAGAGAGGGGAAGAGGAGGAGAGAGGGAGAAAGCTCGCCGCCGATCGTCGCGTGTGCCTCCACCGCCGCCGATCGTCGCAGCAGCAGCAGCTCGTCGCCTCCGCCGATCGTCAGCTCGTCGCCTCCGCCCCCCGTCCCCCGCCTCCGCCTCCAGCCCCATTTGTTGGGCCCCCTCCAATCCCTCCCCCCTCTCTTTCCTCCTCCTTCTTCTCCCTTCTTCTGATCTGCAAAAAAAAAAAAAAAAATTTCAAACGTCGAAACGACGTCGTTTTTAGATTAGGGGGATTCGTCTTCCTTCTTCTTCTACAAAAAAAAAACAAAAAAACAAAACTAAAACGGCGTCGTTTAGGGTTTAGGGGGATTCGGGGGGTAGCTTTCGAGCTACGTAGCACTGCCGTTTATGATATATTATTTCTTATATTGGTAATTACTTTTTTATCGGTTGACTAAAAAATTGAAATTATAAGTATTAAAATGAAATTTAAGTTAAATTGCAAGGATGGAAAAATAAAATTTACCATAAAAATTGTTTTAAAAGTGTCTAAAATCCATATTTATTTATGATATAGATTTGAATTTGATAAAATACGTGTCATAAGCAAAATAAATATAATCTACATATTTTAAATTATAGACACTTTTCCAAAAGAAAAAATTGTTTTCAGTTTTCTTCTTTCTAGAGACTTAGCATTGTTCTTATAATTTTCTTCTTATATCAATTTTATTTATGTAATTTCAACTATATTCATTTTACCCTTTAATTATTTCACATTGTGCCAATTTATTCAAATTCTAAACATCTTATAAGAAATTAAATTGAAATAAAAAATAAAATAAACCATTCTTGTAAGACGTCAATGAACATATTACACCACATTAATTTCTCCTTACACATGCATGTACACGCCTTATTTAATATAGTACTAGTATTGCAATGCATAAAAGTGGTGCAATGAGAAATTTAATAGGTGTAAATAGAACTTTCCGCAGACAATTTCGCAGGAGTGGTTTGGGATGTCCTAAATAAGTGCACTTTTTTATTTTTTATAAAAAGATGTGTAGAAAAATAGAGAGGAGATATTGATTGATGTGACTCAAAAAAAATAAAAAATAAAAAGATGGACTAAAATAGGTTATGCCAAACCATCCAATCACATTGAAGAAAGAATAGACTATTTTTATTTTTAATTTTAGTCTAATTTTTAAAAAACCATTATCAATTAGATTAATGATTCATTAAGAAATTGACTTGTTTAATGACTTTTATGACAAAAATATGAAAGAAAGTAGGGAGAATATGTTGACTTCTTGTAGTAATTTTTTGACTTTTTAACTTTTAACTACTTTAGTCACTTCTCAAACAAGACTTAAATATACACAATACAAAAAAATTTAGTAATAAATTGATATAGAGCTTGTTTGGGAAAGAAAAGCCTAAGGCTTTTTGGCTAAAATAATCACATACAAAAAAAAAAAAAAAATACTAAAAAGTTAATAAGATAAAATATTGCATCCAAACCATAATCATTTTATTTTTTCTCTAACAAAAGTCAAAAAAACTCATCTCAAACGTGACTTTTTAACCCCGGACTAAAATAGCTAAAAAACTAAAAATCCAACCCACATCCCAAATGAACCCATAATTAAAATTATTAAGATAAATAAATATGATTAAAAATATAAAAACTAAATTAGTACAAGTGATAATTATTGGAATTACCAGTATCATTTGTTGTAATTTAAATCAATAAATTATGAATTTAGATTTAAAGATTCAAAAAATTACTCAAAATTATCATCTTATATTGAAATTTATTCTATATATGAATATTATATAAATTAAAAAAAAAAACATAAATTTAATTTTTACCAGACAATCATTAATTTAAAAAAAATGTGAATAAAAGTCTTTGTACCGGACTTTGAATTTAAATAGGTGTACGGACAGAGAGATTGTGAGGTGCAAGGAAATTTCTGCTCGATGTTCAAGTTAAGTAACCGACGTAACCGATGACTTGGCAATGTCTTCTCCTTTCGTCAACGTCGCCTGTGGCTCTTTGTAATCTTGTGATCCACTTGTTGGATTTATTTCAATATTTCCTAATGCACATTTTTTTTTTATAAATATTTTAGAAATGATGTATAATAGAATTTAGTGGATGTTTGGGAAGTGGGTTTCTTTTTAGGTTTTTTTAGTTGTAAGATATTATTAGGAAAAAAAAAATTATATTTAGGAAGATAGTTAAGTTTTTTTGTGGTTGGATATGATGTTTGTGAGAGAAAAAATGAAATGATTATGGAGTTTGATGTGATATTTTGTTTGAATTTATTTATTTTTATTTTTTTGTAAAACATCTGTCTTGTAGTGAAAAAAACAAAAAAAACCTAAAAATCAAGTTGCCAAACACCTGTGTCTAAATTTTTACTTATTTATCTTTGTATCACATGTCCCTTATTTTTTTTATTTAAAATAAAAAAATTAAATAAATACGAAGAAAGAAATTCAAATATTTGACCTTGACTCTGTTGAAAAAGATTCTTATCATTTAAATGGCATAATATATAATAAACATTTTAATTTACGGTAAATTATTCAAATGGTATCTGTAGTTTACACGATATGTCAATTTGGTCAATGTTCTTTTAATTTGCTTGATTTTACCTATTAATTTAACAGATTATGTTGTATTGGTCCAATAAATAACAGCCGTTAGATTTGATGGACGTAAAGTCATCACGTGCTCAAAGGATGTATCAATTTGGTCCTTGTAATTTACACAATGTGTCAATTTGGTTCTTATCATTTTTATTTGCTCGATTTTGACAGAGATCAAATTGACATACTGTGTAAAGTATAAAAACCAAATTTATATATCATTTGAGTTTTTGTCCACCAAACCTAACGACTGTTATTTATTAGACCAATATAACATAAGCTGTTAAATTGAAAAGTAAAATCAAACAAATTAAAATAATAAAAATTAACTTAACACATTATATAAACTATAATGATCATTTACATAGCGTGCCCTTTATTTTATTTTTACTTGTGTGCCTATGGCTAGATCTAACTTAAAAAGCGGAGGTACAAGATCAATTAGGTAAAATAATCAAGTAGAGAATTTACAAGGTTTCGCACCAATTACCTATTCATATCGAGTGAGGGATAATCCACTCTAAAGTGTAGTGGGGTACACCATTATATCATAAAC